CTCTCTCCTTTTCTCTCACGTAAGTCTATTTGGTCATATTTTTCAAGCATAGGTAAGGAAACAAAGAATGTTTATACTTGAGAAAACATAGTTGGAAATACTTTGTTTGGAAAAAAGAGTCATTCAGAAATGTGTTCCAAATAATCATAAAATAAAATAAACTAGAGCTGACCGAACTCCAAGGGCACACTGAGAAAGAACTCTGACTCAGCTGAAAAATATATCTACTTTAAAATATCCCTTTCTTCTTAAATAATGGAAATATTATCTGTAAGTGGGCACAGAACAACATCTGCCGAGCAGCAACAGTTATAAAACCAATTCCCTGACTGTGCTCTGGCATAAATGCATTAAGTAGAATTGCTGTTTGGCAGTTAAGTAACGGAGTTCGGTTGTCTGGCTCACCCCGGGCGAATGTGGGGCACTGTCAGCCCTTCCTACTCTTCTATATTTGTGCTTCCTTTACTTTTCCTTCCTCTGTTGTTCCAAACTAAAGCCTAGGAATTTATAACGAAAGCGTCAATTAAGAAATGTCAAGTTCACATAATTAGGGGTGGTGAGAGAGAGGTGAGGAGGAGCTGACAGCATTTTGGAAGCATGTGTTATGTGGTGGTTTATCTTTTAGCAACGTACTTTTACACCCGTAACTTCATTTTGTCTGACCACCTGCCTATAAAGCAGGTAAAGTGAGGACTGTGATCCCACTTTCCAGGTAGAAAAACTGAAACACATGAGTGGCCTAACCCAAAGTCACACCACTGATTGGAATCCCAGAATTGAAAAGGAAGGAATAAGTCATCTGAGCTAAGCCTCTCATTTTTAGGTGAAACAAGTGGGAACCAAAAGATCCTCTAGCCAGGTGGCCAGAGAGAGGAAGCTGAGGCCGGAGCCTTACAGTCAGAACCGCACTGCTCTGAACCCCCATAGCCAGTGGCCAATGTTACAACACCCGCCTCCTGATTTCCTGCTTGTCTCTTTTCCCACTAGGAAACAGTTCAATTAAAGGGAACATCTTCTAATATATTGAAAAATCTTTAGTTATTTAGTGGACTTGCAGTTTTTTTTATTAACAGACTGCAAAATCACAGCAAGTGAGCTGACGTAACTAGAGAGTGCTCATTACATAGAACAGTTTTCCTAAGCAGGCCCATTGTCAGCTCCAATAAAACGTGCCTTTGAAGTATGGGACTGGGGTCTTAAACTTGTAAAAGCAGAATTTCATTTATATGCCTTGAAAATTAAAGGTTAAAAGCCAGAGTAGGTAGCAGTATGACTGTGGTCACAAAACTTTATGCCCTAAAGAATATTAGAAAGAAAAAGTACTGAAAACCTTCTCTGAGTCTTAAGTAGCTTATCTTTGATGGCCTGAGATTAAATTTAAGCAATTGATTCACTAAGCACCTTTCCTGACCAGTTTTTTCTTTTTACCTTACCAATAATTATGCCCATATGATTCACACAGAAATGGAAATTTGGCAGTTGCTCAGCTAATTTGATCAGCGTTGACATGCAGCTAATTAACCCCACCCACTCTTCATCTAGTTTAGGTATTAAATTAGTTGATTTTGCCTGAAGGAAGCATGGGTCAAAATGGCAGGATAATTCACTATGTTTGTATCATTGCCATTATATTTATATACACACTTGCTATCTACCTATCTATCTAAACTTCCTTTGTATGCGAACATCATTTTTGCATATATACATATATACACACATAAATATCCATATGTCTTTCTGTATACTTATTCCTATTATATATACATAGCAAATGCTGGGCATAGGAATGAAGCTAAGATTGGTTTTCTATACTGAGTAAGGTAATTTTTTTAACTTCCTATGGCCTAACTATTTTGTTTCTGTAGCGTTTTATAGTAATGGCCAGAATTCAAATAGGGTGCCATTCTCTCTCCAAGGTGCTCAAATAAGAACAGCCCATTATTATAACATCACTAAAAGGCTACAAGGATGTGTTTCTCGAGAGTGACCTTGGATGAGTAACTTGGCTTCTCAGAGCCTCAGTTTTCCCATCAATAAAAAGAGGAGCACAAATAAAGTGTCTATCGCCGTATCTGGCACATAGATGGCACCCAGTATAGGGCCATCCCTGCCCTTAACTTAGTTGTGCTGACACTGTCCCTCCTGGTAAAGAAGAAATAAGCATGATCAGCTTCAGAGTAATTAAAACTTAAATACTGAACACAGATCAGTTAAATGGGATGGAAAAATCAATGTTATCAGGTACGTGAGCTGAGTCAATTACTGCAACTATTAAAGGCAGTAAAAATCTGGTGTGTTACAGTAAGCCCGGAGCTTCATATACATTTATCAAGAGAATATTATAGCAAAAGAGTTAAGAACCCCAGCCCTGTCTCAGACACACCCTATGTTTGCATAAGGCCCATATGCAAACATCATCTCTGAGCCTCAGTCTCCCCATTTATAAAATGTAAATAATAACACCTATGTCACAAGGATCAAATGACTTTATATGTGCAGAATGCATAGAAAAATGCCAGGCACAGAGTAAGGGTTCAGTAAATGACAGCTGTTTACTGTGATTCCAGAAATTCCCTCCATCAAATTTTCTCACACTTACCTGCTTCCCCCCAACCTAGTAGATTTGGGACTTGGGAATCCATCCCACACGCTAAGCCCATGTCTCCTCTGACCCTAGGGATGGTGAACTTCAGCGAGGTGTCTGGATATCCTGTGCTGCAGCATTGGAAGGTTCGGTCTGTGATGTACCACATCAAACTCAACCAAGTGACCATCTCTCAGGGTGAGCACAGCAGCATGCTGCCCCTCCCATGTGCTCCCAAGGCGGGGGTTTCTTTCCAAGTTTATCCCATTGTTGAAGGTGCAGTCTAAGTGAGATAGATAATCAGTTCACTTAGATTCACCCGTAAGGGCAAATCGCTGGAATCCAACCCTTTTCTAAGGATAGATTAAATTGCAAATTTTATCTTGGGTCACAGAAGAGATGGAGAGGGCAAGGCAGGGAGCACTGAAGATAAACACCTACTTTATCTCTTTTCCTGGGGTCACCCGGTGTATAGACAGGATATGCAAAAGCAGACTTTCTATAAATTGACAGAATAAAACTTTCCAATTTCAACCAGCAAAACTTAGAGGTTTCATACAATGAAGGGAGCAAGGGAAGGAAGGAAGAAAGAGGGAGGGGAGAGGAAAAGTAGAAAACGGCTTATAATTTCTAAACAGAAAGTAAGCAAAAATAGATGATAGGCAGGCAGATAGATGATAGATAGATAGATGATTGATAGATAGATAGATGATTGATAGATGATAGATGATAGATAGATAGATAGATAGATAGACAGACAGACAGACAGACAGACAGATGATAGATAGATCTAGTAAGTTAAGTGATGAATTTGAAACTTAGGACAAATTATTCTGAAACAGAACAGTGGAGTGCCTTGTACAAGTATTCTTCAGATCTTAGCGATAAATGCGTTGAATCAAGTTTTCCCTCGCATTTGGGTAATTCTAATGTGCAGTTTGCAAAAGAGAAAATGACTACAAATACGGCCTTAGTATAGATCTGTGTCTCTGTTCCTTCTCCCTCATCCCCATGGACTGGGAGAACATTACTCGATGCCCTCCTCTGAGGCTATCTAAAACATGTACCAGACCTGACTCTATGCTCAGAGTCTGGCTTATCTGTGTTGGATGAAAGGCTAACTAGATTCAGATATTGTTGGCACAAGCTGACAAGACAAGGGAGCGCAGTCTTAGGGCCAGCGGGAGAGAGAAGGGGTGCAGGCCAGATGGAGTTGTGAAGAGCGGAGAGAGGTATACTCACAGGAGGTAAGGCTTTGTGCACAAACAAAATGCATTCAGGATAGAGAACATCTCCAGAGGGCAGGGAAGGACTCAGAACTTTTTATTTTTTATCCTGAAGGATAAAAAGAAGGGGGAAGAAGGGGTTGGGATGATGGTCCTACTGAAGTTGACTCTGGTGGCACAGAAAACACCCAGAAAGACCTAAGCCACTCTCCCTTCTAGGAGACTCCGGCAGTGCAGGCCCTGCCGTGCACAGGTGCTGTGCAGATCAAAGCCACCCCTGGCATCTCGGTGATGTGGACTTCTGAACTTGGGGTCTCATGTCTGGACCAGGCTCTGCCTTTTGGGACACAGGTGGAGGCCCATATGAAAGAAGGGCTGTGGAAAGCTGGCCAGGTTGAGCAGGCATTGGATTTAGAAGATTTGCCTGCAGGCTATCTTTTGGACAAATATAATTCTCTTAAACAGGGAAAGCAAGTTTGGGATAGGCACACTCCCACATGCACGCAGCAGAAGTCCCATGAAGTGATACTTCATCTTACCATGTGAAATGTTCTCTGCTGGTATTTGTGAGTCTATTTTAGACTATGCTATTCTTCTTTACTTTTTTTCAATTGCTATAATTTGAGCTCACTAAATTGATTTAATGTCATGACTTATAATTTGAAAAACAAACAACATTCACTACAGTAGGGGGGTAGGTTTGGCTGTGTTTTGCGTAACTTGCACAAAGTTAACAACATGGCCAGCTGGCTTAAATAGATCATTTATTCAGGAACCAAAAGGTCGGATTTAGCTGAATGGAAACACTCACCTGGTTGTTCCAGCCAGCTCTGCAGCTCACTCTGGGCCACACAGGACACCCACAACTGGGGCTGAATGGCCTGGGAACCCAGATACCCACATTGTGGGCTCTCACTCTTACTCTTGGGTGATGTTTCTCCATAGCCCTCAGCAACGCTCTCCACTCCCTCGATGGGGCAACATCTCGTGGGGACTTTGTGGCCTTGTTGGACCAGTTTGGCAACCATTACATCCAGGAAGCTATCTACGGCTTTGAGGAGTCCTGCTCTATCTGGTACCCAAACAAGCAGGTCCAGCGGCGACTCTGGCTGGAGTACGAAGACATCAGCAAAGGTGAGTGACATGGGCATCAACAAAGTTTACACCTCAGGCAAGTACTGGCTGTCTAGGTGCAATAGGAACAAACTTAAGGAGTGGGTGGGTGAAGGACCAATGCAGATATTGCCTTGATGCCCAAAATCACCGAGGTTTGGTTGCTAAAACCCAATCTCAACGTGCGAGTATTTGGGGGAAATTTTAGATTCGGGATGGTGCCCAAACCGTATGGTCACTGTGTTAGTTATCATGGAGGGAGCCCTCCAAAGGCTTTCACCAGGCACCATGCATTCTGCTACCATAGCAACAGCTGTTCTTATGGACTAGAGGAGGAGGGGGGACTGCAGTCTCCCCACGACCTCCTGCGCCTGGAAGTCCTGACCTTCACTGACTGGCAGCCCCTCCAGCAACTACATGGTAAACCCCTTCTCGCTCCATCCCGCCCTGTGTTTAGGCCCATTTTTCCTACTGATTTGAGCTACAAGGTTTATACAGCTCCAGATAGCAGCCTCACAAAGAAGTCCTTGTTCACTATTTGATGGCACAAAGTCCAAGGAAGTACAAGAAATGAGAGTTTTTCAAACCTTCTGAATTTGCCTTCTGGTAGAAGGGGAGTACTGGCTAGTTAATGTGTATTCTAGTCAACCAGGACTGGTTAAGAATTGTCATTCATGGAATTTCTTTTCCTGAGCTAATCCTCATGGCCTTCTGAGGAAGCCAGGTTGTGGATGTGTGAGTTGCTAAAGGGTGAGTGATGAAATTAGCACAAGGGGAATTCAAGAAGTAGGTCATCCTGAGATTTAATGACCAAGGGACTGGGGACGAGTTGGCTGCAGTGGGGAAAGTGGTCCCCAGTGGCTGAGATTCTCTTGGTCCTCTGTGCTTCACACAAATTCCCATTTCATCTTGCTCAAGAAGTAACAGAGGCCTGAGAGTGTCCTCTGGCTACTTTCTTCCAGAAGAAGCAAAGGCTTGTGTCTGGGCTGTAGTTGCTACAGGCATTCTCCCCCCACCCCACCACCCCACCCCAAGCCCTGATTCCCCTAAATTCAAAGACACAACCACAGGGTTCTAGTAACCCTTCAAACTTCAGCATCTTAAAATTGTTTTGATTCCAATTTGCCAAAAAATGAGTGTAACAGAAGCAAATACAGATAAGACCAATGCCAGTGGGCAAAGCTTTCCTATTTTCCATGCCACAGCCTAGTGATTAACCAAAAGGTTAAACCCTCCTCTATTTTTGTTTGCCAGTAGTTCAAGGGCTGCCAGCCTCTGGGCGGTGAGGAGGTGAGCCCGGCCTTCCCCAGATCTTTGGGTTCTCCTCTCGCTTCTGTCCCCAGCATCCTGGCATTGCAGTGTCTTAAGGTTAAATACTGAGCCCAGGAGGGAAATTCGTCCATGACCTTGGTGTTGTGCCCTACCCCTCTCGATATGACGATTCCTCATGAAGCTTTGTGTCTTTATCACTGACACAGTGCCTGACGTGTGCTCAGCATCCATTGCTGAAGGAATGAATCCTTTGTTTTGTTCTCACTTGAGAAGAAAGCAGCCAAGGACTAGAGATCTGTAGATTACAGAGAAGGGACCCGAAAAAACTGGACCTTCTTCAGATAAGAACATCCAGGGGCTTACTTTTAATG